TTCTGTTTGATTTTGTATTATTACTATTGTTCTTCTCTTTATTTTTTCTTTTGTCATATAATTATTTTCTTTATTTCTTCAACATTTGTAATAGTTATGAAAATTTCAACAATAAAATAATAGTGAAAATGAAATCATAATGAGTTCATAAAAATGATGAGAAAAAAACCTAAGAGTTTCACTAGGTTATCTAAGTAATTTCGTAATCTGTAGTAAAAAGAAATTATGTTCTGACTTCCAACAGTCGAAAGATTTTTTTTAGATAATAGAAGGCTTGATTCATCAATCAAGATTCTATTTATCGAATTCTTGAGTGATTTTCAAAATGTTGTTTTTCAGACAAGAATCTTATATTGAACATATAAAAGAAGAATCTCTTTGATGATTTCACTGCAAAAAAAATAGAATCTAGAAAGAATAAATACAAGAATATTAACTAATGTACCATGACCTTATGTTTATAGCATAGACTCTAACAGTTCATTTTGCTACGATTCCATTTTTTATTTCTGGAAGCTTATTCTTAGAAAGAATCATTGATAAACATTAGAATACACAATTACATTTTTACAACTTTCACAGTAACAGAAAATAATTTCTAATATGAAAGTAGGATTTAACTTTCGGCATTACTAGAACCGTTTTCATTTTTGCATTAGATAAAATTTGATACAAACTGTTATAATAAGAGATACAATGTAATTTTTTTTTTCGATCATTTTTGCACAAGAAGCACATAATTCCAACTATTTATCTTTAGTCATGAATGGCTAATTATATGTAGCTAAACAAACTGTAAATATATCTAAATTTTACTATAGAAAAAAATATATGAGATTTTTTTTGTATTCAACAGTCAACACCGATGAATAATTTATGATAATTTTGAAGAAACAATGAGATAATTAAGAAAGAAAAAGCAGTTTTCTTCTTATCAGATGTTATTTTTTCTTATCGGTTGATTCATAGACTAAAAATATATCAAGATGTCTAATAGATATGTGGGCCAAAGAATAGAAGAAGATTTTAACTGTTTCTATACTACATTTCCCCCATATACGACAGAATCCAAAATAAAATAAGGCATTCGTACTCTCGAAAAACGTCGATCTTTGAAGAAAAAAAACGCATGAATATTTATCTTTATATCTTATGAATATTGACATATAGACAATGATATGTTTACTATATTTATCGACTAAGAATTTAGTTTGATTTTTTCTGCCTATTTCAAAGAAAATTAGATGTATTCTACGTTTCAACTAATATAATCCGTACAATAAAGAATTTATGATTTTTTTTTTTTTTGTAAAATGAAAAACCAGTGATAAAAGATTTGATTGTACATAAATTTAATTTTGAATTTATTTCCTTATGACATCAATGAAGAATCAAAAGAAATATTAGATATGATACTATTTTTTATTTATTTTTTAAAATCTGTAAGAATAACTATATTGAAGAGTATAATGCTAGTTTATAAAATAAAAATTTCTGAGATAATGATCATAATATTTATTAATGTCTTTTGAAAATCGATAAACGATATTTAACCTTTGGCGCCTTTAGTTTTGGGTGCGCACAATTTTTGTGTTGCTACTTTGAGTGCTTCAAGTTCCGATGTGCTTAGTTGAGTTGTATAACCATCATGTAAAAGATTGGGTTCTGTAAATTTAACACCTTTCTTTTGAACATTATCAATGAAACAAGCAGCTTCAGGAAGTGTTCTCCATGAACGTGTTGTCATACATAGGTTATTGCATACCGTTGATCCTTTTGGACCTTGTAAATTAAAATGAATACCACGTCCAAGAGCTAATGGCATTTGTGATGAAAGTACATATTCAGTTGGTGTTTTCAATTGTTTATATGAATCAATAACATGTACTCGTACTTTACATCCTTTAGCAACAGCACCAATTGATTTTAAATAAGGTACAAATGATTTATTTGCCATAATTTTTTCACCACTAAAATCTTTTCCACCTTTGTATACTGATATTTGGCATTTTGCATGTTTTGAAAATAGAAAACCATTAATATTTGTAACCAAGAATAATGTAGTTAAGACTGATAAAAATATAATAAATTTGAGCATCTTATTGACGAACTAGTGATAATGCAAAATGAAGATAAAAATATGAGACTTGTATATCGATGAGAGTATATGTAGATGAAACAACGCCTCTTTTTTTTTCTTTTTTTTTCTTTTCTAGATGCCTACCATCGATAATAAATACCGAAAATATGAGAGAGAAACAATATTTACTATTCAAAGAAGATAAAAAAGACATTTCTTATTGATGAAAAGCCATCAACAACAACCATTATATACAAGGACATTAATGATGAATAATCAGGAACTACGTATTCATAATACCACAAACATAAAACAATCCATAGCCTTGATATTCGGTTGATTATAATACAAACAAAGAAATATAAAGATACCATACGTATATGAAAACATCAAATAAATGATAGATATCCTTTAAAAAAAAAACAAGAATCACAAAAGGAATTCATAGAAAAATATTATGATAAATCAGAAACTGATAATATCTTTAGAAGGATTATATTTCTTTTATAAATAGATAATTTATAAGTTATATATTTTTACAAAAAATATTTTCTATGAAAAAAATTATCTAATAGATATTTTCTTGCTATTATCTATGCTTGATTAAAATAAGCGTTAAACTTCATTTATCTATTTTACAAGCAATCGATTGTATTATCATGTTAATTTATATCTAAGAGTTGAGGTCACATCTACTAAGACATTTCAATTATCATTATTATAGAAATAATAAATTAATATAGACAAGCAGACAAGGTTTTTATTTTTTTTGAAAAATAAAACAGATTCTATTAATCATTCGAAAGAAGAAAAAAAACAAGAATTCAATGATAATTTTTGTATGAATAATAACCATTGAGAATTTGATATAATGTTAACTATTAATATTGTTTATTGACTTTGATATTTTTTAGACGACGTAAAGATAACAAAAAAACAAAAAGCCAGTATTTCTGTTCTACAATTAACATTATTATTATCATCTTTGAGAAAATACATTAATATATTCATTAGTGTTTCTGTTGTACAGAAGAGGAAAAACAAGCTCATGTAAATACATCACTAATTAGAGTAGGTTTTTACTTTATGCTACATAAATAAATAGATTGATACTATTTTTAGAATAAATTTCGCTAGTATATCAATTATTATTTTTCTTTCAAAGCCATACGGTTAACGTTATTTTAGTTAGTTAACGAAAGACTTCATATAAATAAACAGAAAATCTATAGAATCGACCTTTATTATACTATTTTCCATTATTCTTATATCTATCTTTCGATATGATTCAAGCCCATGTCCTAATGACAAGTCATATGTTACATATATATATATATATATTCTGTAATGAATCACTTGATTATATTGTTTATTTTCTATATTGATATTTCATGCAAATAAGCTCATTACAACTAGAAAAAGGGGTTCAAAAAAATAAGATTAGATATAATATAAATATGAATAAATATTTGGCACTTGTTTTTTAAACTTTAATTGGTACCGTAATATGAAGAAATCCATCACTTCTAAGTTCAGTCTTAAGTTTTTCAAGATCAGCTGTTGGCCATATTTGTACTTGTTTATATTCTGGTCCAGCTAAAATAAAATAAACAAAACAAAAAAAGTTGCTTGTATTATATTTGAAATTGTATATAGAATTTACCTTTATTCTCGAAATTAATACGTAAATCATGTCCACTAAGTGTAATATTTAAATTTTCAGGAGTTGTTCCAGGTTTAACTTGAAGACGCATATGAAGAATCTTTTTACCTGCTTCACCGGCATCCTCTAATGTTGGATTCCATGTTTTATTTTGAAGAAATTGTTCGAGAGTGAACATTTTATAGATAGTGATGTATAACGAATTACTATCTACAATAAATCATTATTCATTGTTTTCAGAAAGTCTTATATAAGATCTTATTAACTAAACAATTTTATATTTAATAATCATGCGTAAAAAAAAAAGATTTATTATGTAATAATAAAATCTTGAAACTAGAAAATTAGATTATTTAGTTACCTTGTTGACTAATAATGTACGATGAAAAATTTTAATTTAATTGAATCGAATAGAATGTTCATCTCATTGATCAAAATACTTATCTATCAAACTTGTATTTAATATCATAACCAATTGAAAATTAATAATAATTCGTTAACTGATAGTCTCACACATTATCAATCTCTACAGCAAAATATACATAATAAATACAGTTGTCTTAATATGGTGCTGCTAATTGAAATATGGTTTTGTTGTATATATGGTGGCGGGTTAAGAGGATAACTGTATATGTATAACTAGATATTTATTTTCTTCGACCTAAATGAAATATTCTTTCTGTCATGCGTAGGTATTGATATGTTGAATACTATTGGTTCTAAAATGCAGTGAAGAGAAAGAGTGTGAGGTCTTTTTCTGTGATATGGTTTCTTTTTTTTTTCCTTTTCTTTGTGGTTAGACGCCTACAGATTCTATTTTCTGATTGATGTTGGATATTTAGTTTAAAGTACAATATCATATTCCATAGTTTGTCTGTTGATAGATTGACACAATGTCATATGTCTCTGTGGAATACTTGAAAGCTAGTTTTATTCGTCTGTCATATCCATTAGAAGATCATGATTGATGGAAGTTTTCAATAAATATACAATAAGACAACGTTTTACTTTAAGTAATTAGTTTCTATGTAGAGAGAGAGAATGTTCCAGAATTTTCGAAACAATTTTCATATTCGATTGTTCTTATATATAATAAGAACAAAACTCGATTATGAATTATGAAATATTTGTTTTCAAATATAAAAAACATCTTTTTTTTTTCTTGACATAGTGTTGATGTCTCGAAAGAAAATATTTATTATTACGAACATTTTCCTAGTTCGCTTAATGGCATTGAAATCTGTTTATTACTAAAAGATAAGGTCAAAAGCACGGAAACAGTTATGATGCCTTTCTTGTTAATACAAAACAAAATACAATGTTTAAAACCAATACCTTTCATGATAACAAAAAAAAAAAAAGTTAACAACATTATTATATTCTATGTGATCAATTTTTAATACTTTCTCTAAACATCTTTTATTCTCTTTTAATGTAATTTTTCAGTTGCTTAGTATTATCATGTTGTCGCATATTCGTCATTGTACAGACTAACCATTAATTAATTTTGCAGGAGCTATTTGATCAACAAAAAAACATATTGAAAAAACCCTAAAGTCATACATATGCTTTGTTTACAATCTTGATCATGTGGAAAATTAGAATTCATCAGTTAACTATTCTTTAATTATTTTTTCTATTATAAATCAGCAATTAGAAGTGTCATAAAGTAATTAAATAAATGCCGGGGAAAAAAAAACTATGAACTCAAATTATATAAACAAAAGGAGCATCATCACAAACATCAGAATTATATATGAAAAAGTTTTGAATTGTTTCAGTACGTTTTTTTTTGATAGAGAATAATATGAAGAAAGAAATTTTCTAAAGTTTTATTGTTGTTTGAAGACAAAAAAAAAGAAGAAAAATATTTAAGTATTCTATATATTTGTGTCTTATTTGATTCTGCGATTTCAAAAAGATTATTATTATGAACTGTAATTAAATCAAAATCATTCAATACAGAAAAAACAATGCAGACTTCGTATAGAATTGATACATCGACGACTTCTACTATCCATTCAAATCATCTCAATGGACTTGGTTGTATCACAAATAACTCGGACATAGAAATAGCTGACACTCTGCAGTTTTTAGTTTTTGAAAGACGACAGATTACTCTATCAAATCACGTAAAAATCCAATAAACAAGCAGTGATCACTTCTCACTGACTATTTTTGAAACGATTTCTATAAAAGTTTTTCCATTATATTATGATTTTGAAAATAATAATTTGATAGAGAAAATGAAGATCTCTTGACCTACGTCAGACTGACCTTTCTAGATGGTTCTTTTGTCATGTTATAAGCCTTCTTTTGAAACCCTCGAAATCGGCCAACTTATCACTGATGAGTCTGCAATGAGCTGATGTAGAAAGTTTTGATCATATTGAAACAAATGGTAATGTTCGTTTTTTATTTTTTAAAGCAACATGAAAAAAACCAGACCAACATTTCAAAATCATTAGTTTTAATTAAATATTACGTGGGAACAATAGGTTATCATAAGATTGATTTGATTACTTTATGTTGCTTTAAAAAATTAAAACAAAACATCATCATCATTCGTTTCAATATGATCAAAACTTTCTATATCACCTCATTTCAGACTGATCGGTAGTCAGTTGGTCGATTTCCAGGATCTCAGAAGAATATTTATAACATCTATGTTTTAGTATTCGTGACTTATGTTGAGAATAAACAACAGAAAGTCGAGGTAACATGGTTTTTTTTTTAAATACTTAATCAATTTTATTTCGAAATAGTCTTTTTATATAATTATTCATTGCACATATTTTTTTTTCTATAACGTTCACTTAGATTTTAGTTCATTTTTGTTGAAAAGTTTTATCTTTCTCAACTATTTGTTACTTCTGGTCCTTCGTATATACTACATTTTTCGATATACTTCTTTACTATTCTATAGAAGTCAAATCTTCTCCGAGAATGATATTTCGTTTGAGCGTGAAAATTAATGATTAGATATACAAATTTTGAAGATATTCTAAAAACGTCTTGAAGATTTATCTTATATTATATCAATTAACTCTTGACCAGAAACTGTTGATCAAAATAACTCGTGTTGCTGTTTTATTGGTTGTCAGTGCTAGAGATGGGACTGGTACCAGTATGGATTTCAGTCTTCGACTGAGTTGCCTGTTATTGGACTAACTTCGTGACTTTTCTGCTTTTATCAGATGATAGATCGGTGTCGATACTGATCATCGAACATCCAGATGGGTTCCATTTCTGGCCGGTGAAACTTTTGCTATTGTATCACTGATATTTACTCTCACGATTCGTCAATTCTATTCATGTAAATATTTTATTAAATCATAGAAAGGATTGATAATATTCTCTATTTATTTCTTCGTTATCAAGCTTCATCAACAAATATTACAGTATCTGTTTGTTCATCATAAGGATTTTAGTTCATATGCCAATAGAACAGATCTTGGTTTAAGTCCTCCAATGAGCTATCTAAATCAAGACTATGCATAGCAAACGTTACATCTCAATGTTCATTAATTACTTGTGTCCAAATTTGACATATCTTTCGTTAAATTTACTAAATTATCATGTAACATTCGATGAATGTTAATAGTAAAATATTGATGGGTGCAATTTTGCTTGAAACAGTTATCTGGCATCATATCATTGGTGTTTATAATGCAGTATTATTTCAACAATTGATTTACGTTAATAATCGTATTGATACTGTTTTCAATGATATTGTCTATCCGCATCAAGGTGAATTGTCAGGTAGTACGGCAGCTATCGAATAAAGTTCATCATCTAATTATAATTCATCGTATTTCTATGGATAAGAAGAAAGACAATGAGTTGTATTTTTTTTTAGAAATAATTCGACTCGTATATGGAAATCTGTTTCTTGTTTGTAACACTAAAATATTTTTATTATTTTAATAAGTAAATAATTCTCTACCGGAGACTATCGAATGTATGTCTTTGTGGATATATTTACCTTATAAAAATCTATACCAAATTTCGGTAGTTATTTTTTCTCTTCATTAGATACAATGAATAATACATTAGTAGAAATCATCAAGATTCTTCTATCCTACTCATAGAAGTTTTTTTTGTAACTGTAAAATACATATACAGTACTATTACGTTATTGTTTAAACTTAACACTTTTTTGATATGTCGACTCTACACCCGAATTCATATCAAATTTTGATAAATTACTCAATTAAAAAAATGAAATCGGAAGACTTTTCATAGTTATAAACCATATAATTCAAATCAATTGATGGCAAGCAGAAAGCATAAATAAAGATGCGTTTCTAATAAAACTTATCTGGATTTATATGAATGGTTAATATTTATTCCACCGAAATATATTTTATCTTTGTTGTTTAAGAAAAGGACTCGATCAAAAAATGATTTATTTATCATCTTACGTTTTAGTGAAAAATAAAAATCTCAGATCATTTTCTTAACTAAAATTTCGAATACATTCGTTCTTATCAAAACTATCCTATTATCTTTCAATATTTCTTCTACCATTTAAAATTTTAATTAATATAGTGTAGAGTCTTTCATTATTAATTAATATATAGACACATGTAACATTTGTTTATGCTCGTAGAAACGATATCTGTCTCTTTCTCAATAGAGAATTATAAGTAACATTGGTCAAGTGTTCTATTTGTTTTCTATTGATAAACATTTTTCGTTTTTCTAATGAAGGATTGATCTTCTTAGATGGAAGATGTGCACGATAGAAAATCATCATGTTCGATTATAAACTACACATGAGTTGAGACCCATATTGATGTAATATTAACGGTAAGTGACATATTATAGATGGATACTTAGCCTCATATCCGAAAAATACAAAGATGATAAATTATATACAATAAATCGAAAAAAAAATTTTTTTAGTTTTGTATTTTAGGTTGATATCAATACGATAGAAATCATAATTTACACATAACAAATAGAAATTGAATCTTTTCTTTTTTATTTTTAGATTAATATCAATATGATAGAAATCGTGAGTTACATATAACTAATATAAAATGACTATTTTTGTTGTTTGTATTCGTAGGTTCAAATCAATATCATAGGAATGATAAATTACATATAGCAAATCGAAAATCAATATGTTCTTTTTTATGTTTATGTTTATATCAATATGATAAAAATGGTAAGTTACATATAATAAATTCGAAATGAATATATTCTTTCTTTTTTTTTTTTATTTTCAGATTGATATCGATAAGATATAAACGGTGAATTACACAGTAATAAATATAAAATTAGTATTTTTGTTTTTCACATTTAGGTTGATATCGATAGTAAATTACTTGTTAAGAAGCAGCAAATTAATATTTTCTTTTTGAGTTTTAGACTTATATCGATAAAACACAAATGGTGAGTGCTATGAAAACAAAAGTGAATGACTTCCATCTTCATTGTAGTTGTTTTCTTTTTGTCGTTTCAAATAGATCGCTTTTTTTTTTGCGATCTTCGATAAAGTTTCAATGACATCTTTCAAGTTGTCGAAATTTATCTAGTTGACTCTAAACTTTTCAGTTGGTAATTTCCGAGATCAGGATTCCAAAAATTATTATAAGTGACTTTTCAAGATTTTCCAATTCTCGGAAATCCGTAAATGGTTTTCAAGGGTATGTCTTTTTTTTAGAGAGTACTGCTGCTTGTTTATGGATGTTTTCAGAAAAAAAAATGTTTCGTTATGTTTTTTTCTTTTAAATAAAAAAGACTTCTTAAATTTGGTATATTTTATTTATATTTTCATGTCGACAAAGTTTAGTACTAACCATTGACTATTGTTTTCCAATCGTAGATAGTTCTTAATTCATTTATTTGCGCTCTTTTTTTTTATTTTTACGTTTAGAGAAACAAAGTTCTGAAATTTGCTTGAAATGAAATGTTAGGAAATGATAAACTATTACGAATCATCTATGCATACCTTTGGCATATTATTCGTTGTGTTGAAGTTTAGTTATTATATTCTACTGTAGTTGAATCAAATATTCCTTTTTTTCTCAATCGTTCGTGCATTGATTGTAATTTCTCTTTCTTTTTGTTCTACATTCGCTTAGATTTAAACTGGTAAGAGAAAATTATTTTATAATAGCATTAAAACAAAGATGAAAAGTGATTCCATATATATTAAACCTTCAACAAATGATCCTTCTTCTTCCTTTTTTATCGTTATTTCCCACTTATAAAGATCAAACAAATTTAGTTAGCTCTTAAGAAATGCTAAAATACTGAAAAATATATTGCATATGCTATTTTCTTGTTCTTCTTATTTAGAATAATTTCCTATCGAAAATATTTTTT